TTAGTTTATTTCCATCTTAAAATCTACTTACTTCAAGAACTTATTGAGATCACTGTCATCTTGTAACTTGGCAGAGATGTCCCCCATAATGTTTCTCACTTCACTTAATATCTTTGCTTCTCTTTCTATAAATAAAAATATAAGTACAATATAAAAAATTGCATTTTTTAGAATTTCTTAATCTACAGACTCATTGTGACATATGTGCTGTTATGTATGAAACAAAATGAAAAATATTTAGTATACAAATATTCACTGTTAAAATGTTAATTTTTTCAATTAGAAACAGCATTCAGCTTCTATGCACCATAAATCTGGAACAAACTTTAGGAATATGAAAAAACTGATGCAATAGAATCATTGATAACCCACAATAAAAAGACATGAAAAGTTGAGCTATAATTTAACTATACCAATATTATTATTTTTATGTTGGTACAATGTGTATAAAAACAAATACCTGTTGACGAATTTGTCTCACACTTCCTTTTTGCTGATGGTTGTCCTTTGTTGCCCAACTGTTGGCCAGATTTTCGTTTTCCTTGTTCTAAAAAACAAAAAGTTACTCGTATTGATTTATTATTAGCCGTTTTATGTCAATGTACATGAAAAGATTTTGACTAAGATCTTGTATTTCTCACCTGTGCCACTTGTAGAAGGTAAAACCTGAAGATGAACAGAAAAGTTTGACTAAACTTAAAAATGCTTTTCCATTATAAAATAACTTAAAAGTTCAAAATGTTTATTTTGTTGCTGTGGCATTTTCATTAAACTGATTGTACTGATTATACATTTTCCAAATAGACAAACAAAGCTATACTCTTCAACAAAATCACAATACACATTTATGATCTTATAATACACACACAAATATATACCTCAGTCATACCAGTTTCTTCTTCACCTTTCTGGTGACCCTGCAAATAAAATAACCATAGTAAAAAGCTTTTTTTAATTGAACACTAAAGCTAAGTAGCCATATCACAGATGTTAGGATAAAATACTTCACTTTAAACTAAAATAAGAATATGTTTAAGTTACATGTGTTGGAAAATGATTTGGGGTTTGTTCTGCCTAGTAAAACATTTTTCCAAATCTGTTCAGTCTTTATTATCAATGGGATATTTTATCAATAATAATAATAATAATAATAATAATAATATGTAAAAGCATATATCCACACTAGTGAAAGTTTTTTTTTTAAAAGCACAGGACATACCTTTAACCGTCTGATTAACTTTTTGAATTTTAACCTTGATCCCATTTTTGGAATCAACTTTTCGATGTCTGCATCCTGAAGCATATAAAAAGTTTCTGTATCAATCCCTTCATCTGTAATCAAAGAACATCTCATTAGAAATCAGTCATGCCAATATTTGAACAGTTTGTCCCTTTGTCCTCCGGGAGACGCTATGTGTCCTTAAAAAGCAGAATAAAGTGACTTTTTACTACAAGCACTTAAATGCCATATCCATGGTCACATTTATCTTTGAGTCCAAAACATTATTATTGTAATATATTTAACAGGCATTTGTGAATCCATGTCTTTTTAACTTTCTTGTAACATTATCCTATGATGACAAAAGTAACAGTGTAATTCGTTACCTTTAAATACTTTAATCAAGTCACTCAGACCAGCCTTGGCTAGTGTGTCACGAACAAAGTCATCCATGACCAAGAACAGAGACTGGAAGATAAATCATAAAATCATAATGATATATTTTATGTATGCATGTATTGTTTCACATAGGCATTTAATTTTTTAAATTTGATTAAAAAGAAACTCGCCTAGAATGAATGAAATTATGGCTTCAGGCTTCAGATGAAGAAGAGAAAAATTGTCTCAAAGCCGTTTCACAAAAGTCAAGTTGATTCTTCAAAGTTTGACATTCAAAATGGTGAACAGCAAGGAAATGAGAAACAGGAAGGTGTGGTTTGGTTGACAAAAAGAGGAGCAGCAATGGAAAACAGCTAGAGGCGTCCACACTGTAAAACAAACTGAGTTTAGCCAATTAATTGGTTCAGAAATATTCTAGCAGATATTAAAACTGTATGAAATGTGGCAATTGCAGTGTCTATCATTACATTTTAAAGTATTACCACCTGAGATCTTGGCCCCAGGACTATTCAACTTCTAATATCTACATAAAGGCCACACCAGGTCGGGACAACAAAGAGAGGTGGATCATAATGTTTTAAAAAAAGAATTTAATTTATTTTTTTCCAAAAGTTTAAAATAGGCCTACAACAATAGAATATATATGTTAAAGACAGTTTACAAACTTCACAAAATACATACTGCACATCAGCTCTTCAGCGGCAAGTTATTTTCAAACCCAATTAACAAAAAGAACCATGCAGAAAACAAAAAAAAAAAAAAAAAAAAAAAAAAACACTGCAACCCAACCAAAGAAAACATGCAAAGCAAATAAACGAAAAGCAAGACGAGCAAAGCACTGAACAAACTAAATAAACCAAATCATGCAAGCAATTGACAAATTAAACCTACATGCAAACAAAGAAAAGAAAAAAATACAAATTGTAAATAAACGTACTGAAAAATAGGGGGACTCACCATAAACGGTTGAACCCTGGCCAAAATAAAGAATAAATCAATTGGGTAAATGACACCCAGCTGAAAAGGCATGAAGCAAAAGTAAAGACAAAACAACGGCGTTGGCGTGGCCGTGCTCCCCTTGCGCCACGGACAATTAGGCCAGGTGCGCGCACCAGTAAGCGGCAGGAGGAGGGAGGGGGAAAACCACACAACAGTCCACCGCCAAGTCCCGAACACCTCAGGATCTAAAAATAAAATTTAAGGTGAACTATGGCACCGAGCTCAACAAGCTGACAATGAACCCACCTACCTCGGTTAAGAGCTCCACGCCCACGACGCGTGCCTGATCACACGCACTCCCAGAGAGCAAAACGGGAGCACCAGCACAACCTCAATCCTGAACCCAAAGGAAGCACAATCACCACAAACTAATCTAAAATCCAACAGAAGGAAAATCACAAAACTAACCTGAAGACCTTTACTTGATGCTTGAGGAAAGACAGGATCATACAAGCTCACAACGCCATCTCCACAGCTCAAAACAATTGTATGTGAGTGCGCACCCCACACACCTGGCTTTAAAGGGTACGTTGGTGCCGCCCACCACTCACCTTAAAGGTGAATCCGCACGAACATACCACAGAAAGATGGACACAAATTTAAATTATCTGGTCTAAAAATAAATAAATAAATAAATAAATCAATAAAAGATAAAAACAAAAACATTTCATGACAAGTTCTTAATTTTTACTAAGTCCATACATTTAGAGACACATTTATTCAGTTTGGGTTCAAGATTAAGTCTATAACTATTTCTTATATTTTAAGATTTTTCAATAAAATTTTATTTGAGTTCTTTGCAACATTATCAAGTTTTCTAATATCTATCTTTTACTGCTATTTATGTTTTTAATAGTTTGGTAAGTCCTACTATTTTATTGATAATCCTATTTCAATTCCAAAATTCCTAGTTGTTATTTCATTATTCCTCACTCCTCCCTCATTTACTTAATTTGTCTGATGTTTTAATCTCTTTCATTTCTTCATCTGCTCATTACTTGGCACTATAAAAAGTGTTCTTGATCACTCTCTGGTTCGCCATCAGAACCACTCGTATATCTGTTTCCTGTTGGGACTTGTCAAGATGAGTTACAACCAGAATTAAAACTGACAAGTGAATTTCTCAAAGCAATTAGTACAAACTAGTTTAGTTGTAGTTCATTCCTCAAAAAAACAAGAATAAATGAATATTTTGAGAAAGTCCCAAGGCAGAGGGACTGTTGCGGTGTGTCTGTTGGATCGATGGCATGACTGGGCTCTCTGTCGAAGTTTGGAGTTCTGTTTGTCAGGGATGTAACAAGAACAAAGATTACACTGTACTCACAATGAAAGAAGAATTTGTTTTATTCATGGTAGAGATAATAAATAGCACTGCCCAAAAAGAAAGGAAAACTGAAAAAAAATTAATATAATTGTGGAAGCAGCTCAACTATATCTTAAAATTAAGAAAGGAGAGAAGTCAATCTTCTCAACTTCATTCATACATTCCAGAAATTTGGTTTAAGCCTCAACTAGATTTTATAATCCAAGTGTATACAGCGATAAGAAATCACAGTAAGAAGAGACAAGGTGGGGTAGTATCAACCTATGTGCAAAATATTTGGGAAAGAATTATGAAGAAATCTATAATATTGACAGATTTGTGTGTAATGACCCAAACAATGGGGTGATGACTTTTAGTTCTACAAGGAATTCCTCATTCATTAAATTTTACTTTTACGGACATGACATAAGTTATCAATCGATCAATCAATCAATCAATCAATCAATCAAATTTTATTTGTGTAGCACATTTCAGCAGCAAGGCATTTCAAGGTGCTTTACATAATTAAAGAAGAAATAAAAACAGTATGTGACATTAATAAATAGATGAAAAGTAAAGATAAAAACATTAAAAAAACATTAAAAAACATAAGAAACAAAAACAAAACACACTTTTATTAAGGAATTTAAGAGCCTGTCGTCGCCGTACTCCGCCAAGTTATGCCAGTTATCAAGCAGCAGAGACTTGATGCATGTCCAAACATATTTACAGCGTGTGGGAAGGAAGCAGAAACTGCTACTTGGAGGTGGAAATAATAGTAGTGAACATTTTGATTCTGTGTAGAGAAATTCACCAAAACAATTGAGAAAAACTAACATCCAGCCAAAGGGATGTTTTGCTCTGCAGAATGTCTTTCACATGCATTGTTGTAGAGTCAGACCACAACATCTCTGTAATTTTGTCTATAAATGTATTTGTGATTTTGTCAGATGTACCAGAGCTACTGACGTTTGGAAGAAGATGAAACTAGACTGAATAGTGGTAAAGTGACTGTAAATGAAATTAGTTTGTGGTCACAGATGGGCATTTCTAATGCTGTACAGCTAGAAAGCGTTAAAGCAGAGCAGCAGACAAGATCCAGAATGTGACCTTGGCTGTGTGTAGAAAAGTCAACATATTGCTGCATTCCAAAATCATCCAACAAAT